CTAGGCAAATACCCTTTCCTGCCTCAGAATGACTATTTTTTCAGAAAGATATAATTACTCTTTAAATCTCTAAGTTTATAAACATTCATTCAAGATAAGGTGACAAAATGTGAAGAATAACCATCATCTAGAGTGCTGTTCAGCGAGTTTAACACTGGCTATATTCTCCATCTGTACACTATGTACATGTGGGAAACCCTAAGTGTGACCAATGAGTTATATGAAGTAACAGTACAAAGAAGGATTTCTTTTAAAATGGCACAAGTATAAATTTTTGGCACTTATCATTCAAGTAAATGCAAAAATATGGGCATGGCATCTAGTAAATATCCTTCAGCCTCTGAAAAGTTTAAGTTCTCCCCATTCCACTATTGTACATTGTACACATACGCACACACGCGCTCACGCACACACACTCACAAATATTTTTTTATATATATATATATTACACTTTTCTCTTAAAATGCTGATGAAGGCTTATTTTTCAATATTAGCACAACCTAGATTATGAAAAAATGCAATCAAGGGGTATATACACTTCTTCGTTTGTCACATGCTAATGTCTTGATGTTCTCACAAGAGGTACAAGCTTCAAATCAATAAAGCACATCGGTCAAACTAGTGACCTTAAGCATCTGTTTCGGAGCAAGTCCGATTTCTTAGGGCACAATATGGCATGGGATGTTTACAAAAATAAATAGAAAAATAAGTTAAATAAATTAACCAGAAAATGTAATCTACAAATGCAACGGTAATAAAATAAATAAATAAAAACAAAAAAAAAAACAAATGAATGTTAAAAATAAGCACAAACATTTCACTCAACAAGAACATTTTCAGCAAGAGTCCAACATGGTCGCAGTCATCAGTCATGCGTTCAGGTGGCCACAGTTGTAGAGAGGAAATATATGGAGTATCCTTGTGTAGCTTTTAACAATCCCTCCATTTTTCTCCTCTTGATAAACGAGTGTTCACATTCTGTTCAGTATTAGAAGGTTTGCTCTGTAGAGGAACAAAACAGAACCTGCACAAACTACAGTTTAAGGAGAAGTCAGATATAGGAAACAAAGAAAAGACAGGTAAGAGCCGCAGAGATGGCTTTTGAAAAAGGTCAGAGAGACAACACTAGAACCATTATCATTTACAGGGGAAGGTCTGTGCTGTTATGTCGGGTTTTTCTGGAGGTGCCATCATCCCGGGGCATAGCTCTCTGTAGGCTGGACATAGCAGCTGTCTTTTTGAGGTCAATGACAGCATAAGAGTCTGCACAACGGGGCGGATGACTTGGAGCTGGGGTACAAGTAATCTGAGGGATTTGTCTTCCTTTTCCTTCACTCTTACCCTCCAACTCCACCTGGATATAGTTGAGTTGCCTTTGCTCTGTACGTGGCCGTCGGAAATCAAAACTGAAGACATTAGATGGACAGCTCCTATGCGGCTGGCAGTCTGGACGATGGTGATGGTAACCACCACATGCAGTGGCGCTCTCAGCATTCACATAGTTTTGCACAGGGTCATCATGGTAACCATTAAGAGATGGAGTCATAGCATCTGCAGAATCTTCCTCCTCCTCTTCATCATCATCATCTTCAACAGGGTGCATGGACCTGCATTCCCAAACAGGGGGTAAGGGGGGCAGATTCTCATAGTGTAACATTGCCGTCCTGCGATGTGAGCAGCTGTTGTATGGCAGACCTTCTGTTGACAACTTGAGGCCCCTGCTACCAGTCCGGCTACGAAGAGCTATACTACCTGGTGGTACTAGGCCATTGATATTCTCATATGCACACTTGTGCGAACTCCACTGATCTTTGCATTCATTGTTATTGTTATGTGGTGGTATTGGTTCTCTTTCACCAGCACAGACATGGCCCTGACAGTCCCTGTGGTGTCTACAGAAGCTGTCTCCCCTTAGAGGCATTCGTCTATAGGCTGGTGCTGGTCCAAGGACAAACTTCACTTCTCCTGGTTGCAAAAAGACCTGGGGGTTACGTTCTTCAATGGAGCAACCTGAGCCAAGCATGTGCCTTGATGGTTCATGGTATGGCGCATGTGCCTCAGGCAAAGAGTGCATGCAGTGTCGCCCACCTGTTTCCTCTTCACCACTGGCTGTATTCACATAGGTATGTGACTGGATTAAAAAAAAAAAAAGTAAAAAATAGGAAAATAGATTTATTATTTTAGGTAAAATAAACAGAAAAGGTCTGACAAACTGTAATTTTGGACATTAATGGCTCACAGGGCAACAAGAGGGCTGTGCAGCATACATTTGGATGCAATTCTCTGCCCAGGAGTGAAAAGTGTAACATACAGTCTGCTGCCATCAGGCTGTCAAAATCAATGAGAGGCTAAAAAATGCAGCAGCCGTATGCAAATATATGCACATATGAGGGGTACCTGCATACAGGGACATATGCATGGTCCCAAATGCAGATGATCAACATTTAAGTAATGCATATGTATCTATATAACAGTACACCTTGAACAAGCATATATCTACATACGGCTGCTGTGTATTTCAGCCTGTCATTGATTCTGATGCCTTAAATGATCTATATGTAAAAAAAAAAAAAAAAAAAAACAACAAAAAAAAAAAAAAATTTGGGATAAGCCAAACTTGCACCAATACTTGGTGCATGTGCTGTAGTGGCAGGTAGGTAATAACACTATGTAGCTAACTAGCATGTGCCAAGTATTTGCACCATTTAAATCCAAAAGATGCAACAGCCATATCTAGTGGGAAGCACATCAAGAGCAGTCCCTGCAGCAGGTAAATCTTTTCTGCAATGGGACTTCTCATCTCGTAACCTGGTGGCTCACACCACCTCCCCACCTGGCTTTTGCTGTGGCTCAGACAAGCACTGTAATCTCCAGCCAGGCAGCTCACAGCACTCATAATACATTAACACTTCAGCAGCACCCAGCTCATGTCGGTAAACTCCTCAGCATCCAATGTATGTTTCTGGGTTATGAGCATTATTCCTCAGCTGCCAGTAACCAGATTATGTGTGTTTACCCCTCAGCAGTCATTTGTTACATGTACTCCTCCCTTGCATATATTTCCACCCATTATACTCTCTGTTCTCATCTCCTGAATGTGCTATCTGCTGTCAGACCCTCTGCATTCCTCTCTTAAACATATTACCCCCAACTATACCCTCCACACTGATCTCCTGCATCCACTGCATCTATAAAACTACAGAAGCTGTTACAACAGCTTATATAAATGAAACATGATTTATGGAAGGAGGGGGTGACCCTTACAAACATCCACCCATCCTTCATTCATATAGATCCTATTTCATTTGTAGAAATCATAATAATGAATGAAGGAGCTAGGTGGAAAAAGGCAGGAATAGTAGGGCACTATTGATGAGAGCCTGTGACAGCTCTTCGGTTTTATTACCCGCACCACAAAGGAAGAATATGGCGGTGGTGGTTGAGAGGCATCGGGGGACAGAAAATTTCTTTAAACTAGAAAAAAGAAGTAAAAAGGGACATATCACCCTATGCTTATCTTGTTTTTTTTGTAAGTAAACTTAGACTTTAAAGTGTTTGAAAAGTCAGCTTTTGTTTTTCTATTAAAATAACAAACATGTTCTACTTACCTGCTTTGAGCAATGGTATTACAAAATCCTCCTCTCTTCAGGTCCCCAGCTGGTGCTCCTGGCTCCTCCTCTTCTCAGTGTTGTGGCACACCTGCGAACTTAAACCCGAGCTGTGCTGCCTGCGTCTATGTACATAGACACAGACAGCAAGGCTCTGCCTCGTCCCCCATTCCCTCATCACAGGATTTGACTGACAGCAATGGGGGACAAAGCCTCTGAAAGCAGGGAGAGAGGAGTGAGCCATTACAGAAGGGAACAGTGCTGGATCAAGACTGGGCTCATGTAAGTATAAGGTGGGTAAAGGGGTGATACACATACTGAAACATTTTTTTTTCTTTAATGCAGGGAATGCATTAAGGTAAAAAAAAATATTTCAGCTTTACAACCACTTTAAAGTTCTTCCTTACTGCAGTCATCACAAGATGGAATGCAATGCAAGGCTATCAACTTTGGAGTCACAAAGGAGTAGCTGTCACCTAATGGATGTTTATTTATGCTGTCAACTTTCAATTTAAGCAAAAGCTTCTGTAGATTTACTAAGTAACTAGAGATCATTTTTAAAGAAAATAATCCCTTTTTGTTTTGTCTCACTTCAACTAAATTTACCAAGTACAAAAGGTTCAAAATGGAACACTATGACATACAAATAAAAGTGAACATCTTCTGTTTCACTGTTAAATTCTGGGAACAAAGCATAAAGAAAGATTACAGATGTTGCACTGTGGGGGGGGGACTCTTTTTAGGAGGCAAATATGTATTTCAGGATCTGGATCACCTGCTTGCGACACCGTGGTTCCCAAAGCTGAAGGCCGCAGTTCCGAAGGCCACCTGTGGGTGTCTCCCAGCAGATACCAGTAATTAGGTATCCAACAATGTTGGATGCTGGGAAGGTATATACCCCCTACCTTTATTTGCATCAGTGCCTCAGTGTTTTGCCTGTTAGTCATATACCTGCTTGCTGATTATTCCGATTCCTGTCTTTTCCTGTACCTTGCATCCAGTTCCCTGCAACTCCATATCTGCTCCCCTTGTTCCCAAGTTCTGGTCAGGCCCTGTTCAGATCAGCTGCAATACATTTGTACTGAACTGGTCATCTCTGCTGCCACTGGATACAGGTATTCAGTATCCCTTACAGTGCCATAATGTGAAATTATGCTTTGCATTCTTGCATGGCAAGAGCCCACCAACCAAAAAGTCAACTTTAGTTCTGTTTAATTTGTGCAGATGACTTTTTTCCATTCAGCATGTTCAGTTCTGGGTACAGGTTTGAACCCTTTAAAACACAAGTATACAATTTTGTCAAACTAATGGTACCTGATCATCTGGTGTAATCAAGCCATGTGTAGATTCTTCTCCAACAGAAGGGTGTCTGAGATTTCCCATTGATGGGTGGCGTACAGAAGGGTAAGATGGTCCATCTCGAGGAAAATGCTGAAACCCATTGGGAAAACCTGTGTATCCTAAAGCTTCAGTTAAAAAAATAATTTAAAAAATCATCAGGGGAATGCAAGGCTTTGTTTTACATATCTATTTATGTTCAGTAAAAAAAAAAAAAAAAAAAAAAAAAAGCAAAAAGTATTTTTATAACCAGGTAAAAATTAAACTTTACACTTCATCTGCTGCCCTGAAATAGCTCAGAAGCAGTGAAATCAATTACAAAAACATTTCATAGCTTGGAAACACATCCTGCTCCTCACAATGCTAATGAGCCAGTCAGTGGACTATGTAAAACAAAACAAAAAGTGTTTTTGATTAAATAAAAAAAAGAGTGTGTGTGTGTGTGCGCGTGCACGCACATACATCTCCAGGCCCAGCTCCAGTGCAAGGATTGACTATTTTCAATCCCTATCCTGTTAGCATTAGTAAATAGATAAGAAAGTAAATCATATTTAAATCCCAGGAGTTTTCAGGAGGGGAGGAGGGGTTTTAAGTACTCCTGGGCTAAGGGCATATGGATTCAGGAAATACTAAATTAATATTCTGCCCTTACTCAAGATGGCCACAGCTAGAAATACTAGGGGAGTGTTTTTAAACGTTATTTCTCAGCAAAATGAAAGCATGGAGACATGGATGGATGGGTGAGTTTGCTTTGAATATTAAAAAATGAATCAACCAGCGTTTTCGGTCTGTGGTATTCAGATGTAGTGAAGTTCCGCTTTCAGTACTGCAGATTTCTACCAGACTTTGTACTGTAGATAAGACAGTAACATGATACACCTATATGAAGGGTGTAACATGTTACAAAAGGACTGGCCCCCACTCCCCTGCTTTGACAGCTAGCGGGACATCTTCTCCTCTCTAGCTGTCACGAGTTTAAAAAAAAAATTAAAAAAAATTGTGGCTGTGTGGGGTTTTCCAGCCCATCACGTCACTCATTCACAGTATTCTGTGAATGGGAAAACTATAAGTTCCAACAGCCTTTGCGGCTGTTGGCTTGTAGCTCTCAACTAACTACTAGGGCACTGTTGAGAACTGTGGTAGTTCATTGATTCTCACCCTGTCAGTGTGTGTATCTGCTTGCCTGTACAAGGTACAAGCACAGAGACAGCTTTGCAGGAGTCGTACAACAAAAAATAGTAAATGCACATTTTTTTACCTGCAGAAAATGTGCATTTATTATTTTTTGTTAAAAGGTGAACTTATCCTTTAGGCTTTTTTCTCCCCCGCATGGGCCCTCACTGAGGGTGAGGGGGTACTGGACTGGAGGTGTTGCAGTCTGAGCCCGAGCCTTTTCCCTTCTGTCTTAGGTTGCATAATATACTGCTTCCTTCACCTCCCAGAACAGGGGAACATCTCCTACTCAAATATTATTCCCTTTATGTTGTTATCTCTTGTCTCTATGCTCTGGGCCACTTCCGTTTTGATTGCTTTGTTCAGCCACTTTTCTATGCAAGATTTGTTTATGCTAACATTTTGATCATTTCGATTCTATATCATTAGGTCTGTCAAACCTAATTCTGAAAATGTTATAAAAACATATTGCACGAAAAGGTTGTTTTTAAACCCTCAAAGTTTTATAACTTAACACATTAGCATAGTAAAACAACCATTCCCGAGTACACCATTAAAATTCTTACCTAAGCACTCATAAATTTACAACATTCAATGCTGCTAGCTCCTGCTCTCCCAGTGCAACTTCCCTGAATTTGTTTTTGCAGGAAAGAGTCAACAGTGGAGAGTGCAAACTCCAGTCAGTTAACTTGGAGAAGGGAGAGGGGATAAACAGGGAAATGCCTTGCCATTCTAAGCTATGGGACTGTGTGTTTTATATGATGCACACAGTAGAGGGAGGCAAACTCTAGTTCCTGTATGCAAGATTGGCTCCATAAGATGCTGCAATGGAAAGGAGCCACCCTGAAATGGGAAACGGCCAAGGAATAAAAGTAAATGATTAAAAGTTCTTAAAACAACAGAGGGTTTAATATCACTTTAACACAGAATCAGTCACAGGGAAAAGTGCTTAGGAAAGCAGTAAGTGAATCACAAGAACATGACATTTTTTGGGGTTGTTCTGTAGGCAAACTGTGCACAATACATATCCAATGTTGCCTTTTTTTATTATTTACAGAAAATCATGACTAGCTACAGACTGAAGTAGAAAGGCCATTTTAATACAAAATGGTATTTGAATACAAAATGGTCTGTGCATCAATTGTATATGTTGTTTTAACCGAAAGTGGGGTTTACTCTAAATAAAAAGCATTTAAATTATTAGACTTCTACAAATTTATTTAAAGTGACTCAATCTGCTATCCCATCTTACAGTACCTGTGCATACAGCAGGGTTCGACAAATCCCAGGTGCCAAGTCGTCATGGCGACTAGAAATTGTGTCCTGGCGCCTGGGTTCACACACTGCCTCCCACTGACTTTCAATGAAAAATGGCATACTATTGGCTTCAATGCAAAAATGCCAGTCAATAACAATCCTATGAACACTCATCTCCGCATGTCACTCTACTCTTGCTACTCACTTGCGAGTCTGGAACACACCACTACAAACCCACACAGGACCCTTTCCGTAATAGCACTCAAAACAAAATACATGTGAATCACCTCAATAGGAAAAAATAATATCTAGCCTGTCATGTGAATCTGCAAGTTTGAAAACGCATATGTGTGAACTAGGGTGGCTCCATTCACACCTGGGCATTTTGGGATCGTGACAGAATCACTCTAATCGCAAAATGCAGGTTCAAGTGCCATTATTTTCAATGGCACCTAAAACATGATGTGGTTTTGCTGTGGCTGTCAAGGGGCAGATCGCATTGCGCGAAGCTTGTCGCCCAAAAGTTACCTTGCCCCATGCGCTGACAACCCATGCCAAGCTAAAAAAATAAAACCTGCCTCCTAACTTTTCTAGCTGGCTCCTAACCAGAGCAAGTTTGTCAAGCCCTGACAGAGAGCCTACAGCACCCTCTCATGTCACAGCTTTCTACCACCACCCAGAAAGCAACTGTAAAAGTCTGCGTGAAGCAAGGGAATCTGGGCTACCTGTAAAATACATTTCAGTACAGTACAGGACACAGAAATTGTAGCTCTAGACCAGGGGTGGGCAAACTTTTTGACTTGAGGGCCGCAATGGGTTCATATATTGGACCCGGGGGCCGGACCAAGAGTAAATGAATGATGTGTATGTGTCATCCATAGTAAGTATAGTAATATTCCCCCATAGTAAGCATAGTAATTCATCCCCCATATAGTAATTCATCCCCCATAGTAATTCATCCCCCATATAGTAATTCATCCCCTATAGTAATTCATCCCCCATAGTAATTCATCCCCCATATAGTAATTCATCCCCCCCATAGTAATTCATCCCCCCCATAGTAATTCATCCCCCCCATAGTAATTCATCCCCCCCATAGTAATTCATCCCCCATATAGTAATTCATCCCCCATAGTAATTCCTCCCCCCTATAGTAATTCCTCCCCCATATAGTAATTCATCCCCCCTATAGTAATTCATTCCCCATATTAATTCATCCCCCATAGTAAGTCCCCAAGTCCCCCCTGTGTCAATTCACTTACCTTTGCTCCGCGCGTTCCTCTCGCCGTGTTCCTGCTTCGTTCCGGTGTAGCATGAAAATCTGTCTCCTATGAGGATCTGTCCCCCTCGACGTATCTGCGCATGTGCCAGTTTCAGGCATTAGCAGCCGATCGGCGATCTCCGGCACATGCGCAGATATGTCGAGGGGGACAGATCCTCACAGGAGACAGATTTTCATGCTACACCGGTCTTCAGGGCGGACTGTGAGAGGAGCCTAGCGGGAGCCTAGCTCCGCGGGCCGGATTAAAAGGTCCGCCGGGCCGTATACGGCCCGCAGTTTGCCCATTGCTGCTCTAGACCATGGGTTATATGCAGCTACATTCAGGTGAATGAACACTGGAAAAAGAATTGCTGGGAAAATCACCAGTGCACTTTTCATATAACCCCACTTTCTTATAACAATCAAAAGGAGACAGAGGGGAGGGACCTGTGACTGAACTGTACTAAAAGATATGGCATTTACAGGAAAATCAAAATTCCCATCAACTTAATTGTACAGTATAGGGCAAATTATTTGTAGTCTTAGACCATGGATTGTCTGTGAGCAATAAACTGAGGGGTGGGCAAAAACAAAGCAACCAGCAGCAAACAGGCCCACAGAAAACAAGGGTTGGCCTCAAAGTAGCAATCATTTTCCGGGGAAGGAAAACATTTCCCTAGGCATATTCCATAAATCATATTCGCAAAAATATTGCCTGCTAATCAGATTGAGCTTTTTGACTTAGAGAAAGATGCCCGAGTGGAATGAAAGGAGGTAGTAGCCATGGTAGCAGTAGGGTTAGGCTGTTTTTTGTGGGTGAAAGCAGTTTCCATGCTTTAACCTCCTTGAAAGATGTAAATTTATCAAGGGATTCACCAAAACATTCCATTCCAAAAAAAAAGCAGCACTGAGGGCATGCACTGCAGTTGCTCCAGCAGAATAGGGATCTCAAAGACAGGATTGTGTTCTCTATTCATTTGCCCAGACCTGTTAGCGACTGTTTGACAAACAGACATAGCCGCAATGGCCAGTTGTAACGCAGGATCAACAAGAGCAAAGCTTGCTTTCAAAAGGCATTCTAATCATTTATCAACAGAATCCTTATAGAAGGGAACGTCCTCAACAGGAACAGTGAGCAGCTTGTTGAAAACAGAAAAGGCACGATCCACTACTGTAACTAACTGTTTTTGTTTTTTTTTTTCCCAACTCCTTTTCCATAGGATAGAACTTAGCAAGTGGTTTTGGAGGAAGGAACACATTTTCAAGATTTGGCCAATCCTCATGCAAAGCACAGGTAATTTGCATGTGCACAGGAAAAGTCTTTCTAGACTTCTTCAACCATTTAGTGCCCAAAGGAGCTTGTTTAGGCTGAAAAAATTCTGGTTCTGCTAGGCAAAGGCTAGTACACACACATCAGTAAGTGAGCACACAGTAGAAAGCACATGGTGTGAAGCCGTTTGTGTCTCCTAAAAAAGCTTAAGGTGAGATTTCCTCTGCAGTATCCTCATCTGCATCCACCTCTCCTTCCTCAATATCTTCTTCAAAGAAGTTAGGAGGTTTAGAGGCAGAAGAGTGCTTTTAAGGCCCTGGAGCCCAAAGCTTCTAGAAGGGCAAAGTTTTCCTGAAGAAATTAGGCATAGTTGCAGTGAAATCTGCCTTAGTAAGATAGACTGTTAGTTGTGGGCCTGAGAAGGAGCTAGAATTAGAAAAAGAGAGCTGTGTTAACAGACAACCTTGCTTTGGTGCAGGAAAACAGCAATCACCCTGAGTGTTTCACTTGTTTTCCTCAGGCCCTTTTTTCTCAGGTCCTCTGCACCTAATCTCCACCATTTGTAAATGAGGGGATCCCCTCAGGGGTACTCACAAAATGGTTGCGGATCAAGAGGGTATCTGTGTGTTCTGAAAATGAGCCACTCTAAAAACACAGGCACTGACCAAAGTCCTGCTAGCTGTGTCACTGGAGGCAAGGCAGTCGGGAGATCAACTAACATGCTCCTTGCATTCTCGGCGGAAATGGCAGGTGGATGCGCACCAGACAGAAGATGTTACAACTATGTCATCATTCTGAGTGGGAACCCATCAAATTTAAAAAAGTTAAATGTGAACAACATCCAGCATGCAAAAATAGAAGTTGGCCATAAATACAGGAAAACCACATTTAACCTTGTCCATGCTGAAGGTTCCCAGAGTGAACCAAACTTTAATCATCACAGTGGATATAACCCCAAAGTGGTCTTTTGGTTCTGGGTGGGATAGGAATAGACCATGGCCATGGACCTGTATATTACTCTGTGGCTTTCTGCACTCATAACATCACATGCCAAGGTGAGCACCCAACGCTGAATCCAGTGCCCGAAGCAAACATTACAAGCTGGCTCTGCTGCTAATCTGGGTACAGTTCCCAATATGTACACAGAGGATCCTGTACTGTACAATTAAGATATCAACTACCATTAGATATTTGCTTGGATATAATGGTGTTCATTTAGGAGATCCTGTTCCTTTAGAAAGGGAATGTTTATTTGATATGTGTATGTTTTCTTTGCAAAGTGAATGATAGTAACCAAGGTAAACCTGTGTTCGCTTTGAATGCCCAATTACACGCTTTGAATACCCAATTACATGCAAGGGAAAAAAAAAATGAATTGTTGCAAGCACATTGGAAAATTAAAATAACAAACACACATTCACCTAGCTGACTGCAGCATTGATATGATGCTACAGCTGTCCCCCACTGCCTCTACACAGAGAGCTGAGCAATTAAAGACCGCTGATCGCTTAGTTCTCAGCTCCACTCTGAGCAAGGAATATTACGGAATCAGAAATGTGTGTGATCCACAGTATGAATTGAGGGGGAGTAGCTTGGGTTGGGATAGGAGGGAGGGATAGATAGCTGGAGGGGGAAGAAAAGTGTCCAAAAGTGGAGGAAGAGCTGGCAGAGGGGCAGTATTTAGAAATACATTAAGAAAATAAAAAGTAGGGGTTCAAAGAAAGAAGGAAAAAGGGTGTCTGCTCTTTATGGAGTCCCAAGGGAATCCTATCTCCTGGAATACTCACACTGCATGAAAAGGATGTTTATCTCATTTATCTCACCAAGCATTCACTTTACTAAATGAGTAGACTATTCTTTTTAGTAGGTCAACCACAGATACATCATCCCCCCTTTCCTAATTGGCTGCACTAAATCTTTTATCTCCCTGCTTTTATGCTATGACAGCGAAAAAAAAAATACCCTTATTAAGTCATGTTTAGGTGTTTCAGAGAGCACTATTAGATTTCATTATGATTTCCATGACAAAACCAAATCTGAAAAAAAAAAGCCTAATATCGTTATACAATGAAATGCTAACTGTGGAGGATTTGTTCTGTAGCAAAAAACTTGCAGAGTCAAAATCAGCACATCATCTAAACCAATCTGAACAAGTAAAAGCCCAATTTGGGAGCACTAGGTCTTCAAGAGGGACACATTGGGAGAGATTTACTAAAACTGCAGTGTGCAAAATCTGGTTCAGCTCTGCATAGAAACCAGAAATTTGTCCATTCAGTTTTTTTCTGTAACTTGGAACGGACCCATGTTAAGTCTATACGTAAATAGGATGTACATATGTTTGCATGCTTTTTATCCATATCCCTTTAGGTCTGAAAAAGCTGAAAGGAATGCAGACCTTTTTCTGTTTCTAGCCATCAACTCACTAAACATTTAGTTTTCATTCACATCCACCTGAAAACCGACAGGTGGATCTTATCGGAGTGCTTTTCCAAAAGGACCTTACTTATCAACTGGAGAATGGGGAAGGGGTGTTGAAGCAAGAAGCAAGAGTGACCCATGCGGCTGATAAAACATCAACCTAATAAGATGAAATTTATATATAAACCCCCCCCCCCCCCCCAAAAGAAAAACCCCACAACTCATACATGTTGGCCACAGAATCTTTAGACAGCAAAATTTTTCAACAGCTGTTAATTGCAGATGTAATGCAACCATATTTCCTGCTAACATGACCGATTTTAGAAAGTGCGCTTATCCTGCTTGCTGCCTCTTCAAGCTGACCTAACAGATCCCATCACTCCCCCCCCCCCCCCTCCAAAATACAAACTTACCTCAATCCAACAGTCATGGCCTCTGGGGATTAGTTACATTCTGCGCTGCAAGTCCTTGGTGTCCTGGCATGGGGAGACGAGCCCCGTGGACTTCTATGGGGCTCTCCTGTGCAGATGTGTCCAGGAAACAGAGGACTTTGCAGGTGTAAATCTCGGAGGCCGCGGCCACTGGATCGAGGTAAATATGCATCTCTGGAGAGGAGGGTGGGATCTGTTAATTTAGTTTAAAGAGGCAAACAGGATAAGCATAGGTTCTCTGAAGTGCACTTATCCCCTAAAATGAAAAAGGGCATATACAGGGGTTGACATAATATTGTGCTTAAGCCACGCTTGGTAAATTAATCAAATTAAATAAAGGTGAGAAAGTAACAAATCCTGACTGCAGCACTCACTGATATTCACACATAAACATCAAAAACACAACTGAACAGTTTCTGTAAGAGGAAAACACCTTTATTTTTTCTTTTGTGCTATGACCGTTTGGGTTAGTCTGTTTCGATCATAATGTAACACAAACTTATGCACAGGAGTAAAATATGTACAATATTCTATTTCTAAAGATGTAATAGCTTGTAATGCATTCAGAAGTATTTATTTGTAAAACTAATTTAAAATATATGTCCACACCTTATGCCACAATTTGGACCAAACAGTTACCCTCCTTACATCTGGAAAACTGCACTAAAACTCTTACTATACAAAATTAAACCTGAGGTATACAAAATGTAATGATTTTGCCTATTTTGAAGATTCTACTTCAATTTATGTAAGATCAGAAGGTGAAATCTACCAAAATGGGGACACACAGACAGGGACAGACAAAATTAAAAATCTGATACAGAAAAACTAGAAGGCAGACACTCTCTGCTATTCTTATCTTTCTTGTCCATCTCCCTGATCCCCACTGCAGCTTCCATAAAACGTTTAGACAAATTTTGAATCTGCAAAGTTGCAAAGCAAATGCCTCCACTTACCTTGTGAAAGCGTTTAGACTGGCCACTCACTAAGCACTGCATTGTGGGAAGGCAGGAAACATGTCATGCATTAACCCATCTAAAGAAGTACAGAGCTTCTGAAGGCAGCTTGAGAGGAGCTGGGCAGCAGACATGAGCAGGAAAAGTGCCAGTTACACTTACCAGTAACGGTGTTTCTGGGAAATCTTCCAGGACGGCACACCTGAGAGAGATGACTAGCAACACCTGACAGGAAACACAATCAAAGAACAACAGAGTTTAAATTCCCCGCCCTTCCCTTCGACTCCTCAGTCATGCAAGAGTATTCCCGCACCCTGCTGCATGAAAGGTAATCTGCCTTGACTTAACCAACACCAGACACGGGTGGGAAGTAGAACTGCTGTCCTGGAAGATTTCCCAGAAACACCATTACTAGTAAGTGTAACTGGTACATTTCTCTAGTCATCTTCCAGGACAGCACACCTGAGACGAGAACCAAGTAATTCAGGCCTACCTTAAAGCGGAGCTCCACCCAAAATGGGAAGTTCTGCTTTAAAGACTGGTCCCCCGCTCCCCATTAAGGATTGGCACCTTTGGGGAGCAGGTATCAGAAATTGACAGGTGCCTGCTCCCACTTCCACTGCGATCGCCTAGGCGATCGGAAGCAGAGGTGGTCCTCCTACCCTCCCTCCCTGTAGTCTTCAGGGACACGTGACAGGTCCCAGAAGACTACGGGACCATTCAGGAAGCACAGCGCTACTCGCACATGCGCAGTTGGCACCCGGCTGTGCAGCCGCAAGCTGTCACAGCCGGGTGCCAACACTGAGTGGGTGCCTGAAACACCAGACAGCTGATAATATGGCCTGCAGGGAGGACACTGCAGGATCATGGGACAGGTGAGTGGCTGTTTTTTAAAAGTCAGCAGCTACAGTTTTTGTAGCTGCCGACTTTTATTTTTTCACAGTGCGACTGAAAGTCCGCTTTAAGGCAGGACCACTGCCTGTAATACTTTCCTGCCGAATGCCAGGTTCTGAGGTGACAACAACTTTACCCTGTAGTGTCTCACGAAAGTGTCCTGGCTTGTCCATGTGGCTGCTCGACAGATCTGTTCAATCGACGCTCCGGCCTTCTCCACCCAAGAGGTTGACAGTGATCTTGTAGAGTGAGCCCTCAGGTGTAAAGGAACTGAAACCCCTGATTGCTCATAAGCTAAGGAGATGGTTTGCCTGATCCATCTAGCTATTGTTGGCTTAGATGCTGGTTTTCCCTTCCTCAGGCCACTGAACAAAAATTAGAAGGTGACTCAAATTCCTGAAGTCACCTACTCTATCCAAATATGTCAGTAAACACCGTCTGACATCTAAAAAATGAAAAGAAAAAAAAAAAAAAAAAAAAAAACTCTTTTCCCTCCCATTCCTAAGGTTTTGACATAAGATAGGACAATCTCCTGTGTCCTATGAAACTGTGAGGCCACCTTGGGCAAATAAAGAGGATCCTGTCTAAGCACTACTCTGTCCTCTAATACCACCAGAGAGGGTTCCTTGATAGACAGGCTCTGAAGGTCACCTATCCTCCTTGCCATTGTGATGGCTAAGAGAAAAGCTAACTTAAAAAGATAAAACCCTAACAGAAACCTGTGCCACTGGCTCAAACGGTGGCTTGGTTAAAGCCTCTAACACTAAGGTCAGATCCCAAGCTAGAAAATGATGTAACTTAATGGGGGGGGGTCATCCTTTCCCTGGCCCACAGAAACCTCTTAACTTGGGGCTATGACATGAGTCTTCAATCCAAAAAGACTGATAAGGCCACCACATACACCTTTAGGGTGCTTACTGCTATACCTTTATCCACCCCTGCTTGATCATATTGTCTGACAGAACCTGGACTTCTTTTCCCCCCGATCCTGTCTTTGAAGGACTTCAAGGCCTGACCTACTGCCAGCAGCTCCCTGCAATTGGAGGAGGTCCCCCTTAGGTGTGGCTCCTACAGGCCCTGGGCTTGTTGGTCCTCTAGATGAGCTCCCCAGACCCCACTTGCTTGCGTCCGTGGTTACCCAAACTTGGTCCCACTGCACCCATGGTCTTCCTTCCCCCAGATTTTGGGGTCTGAGCCACCACCTCAGCAAGGATTTTACTGTTCCAAGAAGATAGAAGGAAGAATTGAAGCTCCTTGAAATGTAGCTATGCCCACTCCATGGCCAGAATACAGGCTGTCATGAGTCCTAGGACTCTCATGATGTGCCTCCGGGAGCAATCTGGAAACGATATTAACCTGGAGACAGCACTCACTTTCTCTTGGGGTGAAAAGACTCTGGAGTCCACTACATGAGGACTTCTCCCGATTGAAAATCCACCCCAAAGACTCATCAGATTGTCTAGGTAAGGGATGAGGGAAATCCCCTGAAAGTGTAAAAACACTACTACCTCAGCGAAGACCTTGGTGAATATTCTCAGACATGCCTCCAGCCCAAAAGGGAGGGCTCGGAACTGCCAATGACTGACCCCCTGTTCTGTGAAAATGGCGAACTGTAAGAAGGATTAGTATTTTGGGATGATGGGAATGTAGAAATAGGCGTCCCTGAGGTCACCCGTGGCCATAAAAACTCCCTTGAGCAGATGTTTCCGTGCACTGTAAATACTTTCCATATGGAACTTTTTGAAGCAGGAAACTGTTCAATACTCTTAGGTTTATAATCAAGCGGAATTTCCCCAAAGACTTCAGGACCACGAAGACATAGGAATAAAATTTCTGGAAAAGCTGGTCCATTGGCACAGGGACAAATACCTCCTGATCTGCTAAATTCCTGATACCTCCCAAGAGACCCTCTACCTTTCTCTTGTTGGAGGAACCTATACAGCCTTTCGCCCACCCTGAGATCTATGTTATTTAAGGTCCTTACTGGTGGGTTTGGAGCCGGAAAAAAAGAAACTCCCTTTCTGCCTTCCCTGGTTGGCTCATTTTTTGGGTGAGTCCTTCCTAAATCTTTACATCAGTATTCCTAGCAATGCAAGCGGATGCCAGGGCTGGGGACATAGTAGCAGCATAGGCATCCCAGGCTCTACGCAACAGCATCTCAGACCTACAGGTCCATCTGATCCCTGATGTTATCTGAATCCTCAAAGGACAGGTCAGAGACACTTGTGATAACGCAGCGTCTAGCTTGGGGGTCTTGGGGAATTTCTCTTCCTCCTCTTCCCCAAAGGCTTTTTCTAGGTCTGTATTTTTAAAACCTCTCTCTCTCTCTCTCGGGATCCTCCCACTCTCTCAAGACAATATCTTTAAGAGTTTGGGGCACAGGTAGCTCCCTAGCCTGCATCTTATCTTGGGCTGAGACCTGCCTTGGTGGTTCTGGGATGTCCTTTGAGGCATAATAGCCCTTAGGAGTCCCTCCATATCTTCCACTGCAAAAAAGGGGTCCATCCGGTCTGGATTCCTCGCTAGTATGGCTAGCACCTTCCAATTCTTCCCCCTTTTCTGGGGAGCTTTGGTCAGAGACATTGCCCTCCTCTAGGTCTTCCTCCTCTGTGACCTGAGAGGATGATGGACCCAAACCGCCCCCACTTCTTCCCCGTTCAAGTCCCCTCCTGGGAAGATGACCCTTTCCTAGAGACAACTTGTGGATACATTTGTAACAAAAAGGTCTGACATGGTCATTGCAATAACCACACTGTTTGCAGCGGAGGGGGGGCTTCAACCTTAGGTGTCTTGTGGGTGCTCTCTTGGGCGGTTCCACATGACTCTAAGGAGAGACAGACAAGGGGCCCCAATTAGGACCTAGGTACACCTGTAGGGGAGAGGGTAAGAGCTCTGCCTCCCTCCTCTACCCCACCAGCCGTGGTCTTCTTGCTGGCTGCAGCCACTACCTCACATTCCATCCCCAACAGGGCCCCTCGGGACTGCGACACCTTTGCCAGGCTCCTGGGTTCACACTCTTAGTGGTGATTCCTGGAGGCTACTCACCAGTCTCATGAGGAAGGGAATGCCAACCGATGCCACCATCTTTACGGCGGAAGTCCCGCCCTACCTGAAAATACAACTGAGAATGAGGCTTGGTACATAGCCTCGCTCTCGCTTCCGTTCCTGCACCCACGGACCCTGGGATCTCTGGCGGGCTGCCTACCGGCCCTAGCATAGCTAATGGCAGACTTCACCATGGCCGCCCTGCCCACCTACAGGCGCACGCCGCATTCTCAGCCAGTGTTTCCACGGCACCCGTGAGATAGGAACCTCGTTGCCTGGTCCTATTCTGGTCCGCCTCCCCGCTGCCACGAATGAGGGAGGAAGGGCACCCATCACCGGAACACCAGGCATACCTCCCCTGTGCCCGGTTCACAGCCTACCTTCCCTGGCTCAGCTGAGCTGTTTAACCCCCCCAGGGGGGGACATTCCAGCCCCAGAACTTAGGTCTCCAAAAAAGAAAAAAACGTTTCGCTGCCAGGGAAACACAATCAAAAACTGGCTAGTGGAGGGAAGGGTGGGGAATTTAAACTCTGTTGTTCTTTGACTGTGTTTCCTGTCAGGTGGAGGTAGTCATCTCTCTCAGGTGTGCCGTTCTGGAAGATGACTAGAGAAATGTAAGCCAAGCTAAACTAATGACCATTCTGACTGTTTGTTTTTTTTTTTTTTTTTTTAAACTTTCATTAAATGTTAAAACCCTGTTTACACACTTCTCTGCAAAAGTTAGTGGCCCTCATAAGTTCTGAAAGTTTTTATTTTAGAACTGCCCATACATCTGTGGCTGGTTATAAATATCACAATAAAACACATGTAACTGTATTTGTCGCTAATCTGGCTCACCTCCAGGGGTCTGGGGGGTACGAGGCATGTCCATTTCCACTGGATGTCCTGTTCTGGTTATCATAACTGGCTCCTCTACTACACTGATGCTGTTTCGCTGCATAAGTTCCTGCAGGAGGTTGAATATTTCTTCAGCCCGGGTGCATTTAAATGCAAATATTCCTTGGGAAAGGAAAAAAGTGGACAAAGAGTAAGCAAAGGCAACATAATGATCCCCAGAAATCATTTGAATAGAGCAATAATCAAACTTCAAAATAACATGTGACACAGGCTGCCCATACCAGCAAAACTGGGCTTTGAATCTGTAAATATGTGTTGATCCTGCAGGTAGAACATTTGGATAGACACTTCCCTTGATAGGATGACAACAGTCTCCCCCCTGTAGTGAAATCACTGCAGCATTGTCACTCTTGCTGCTGATGTATCTGCTTATAAATAAAAATCATAACCAAATTTTAGCAAAAAATAGGGTACGAGAATACAAAATGACTGGTAAAGTATCACTTTATTTTATTTTGCACAAACAAACATTGTCTTAGTGATTTTCAGTATGATCAATAGATTATGTGGTTAATACTATGACAATTATAAAAGTAAAACACTGAACGTTCAAGAATCACATGTACAGCTCTATTTTTTTTTTAAGTAGTATGGTCTTAAAGGAGAAGTACAGCCAAAGTGATTTTGGCTGTACTTCTCCTGTGGATCACAGTAGTGCAGTTCGTTCTGCACTCCTGTGACCCGTTTTCAGCTGACAGCAGGCTGAAGCCCTCTGTCAGTTAGCATCACTCGATCAGTCCAGGCTTTGAAACATAGGAAGGGGGGGGGGGGGGGGGGGAGGGTTGAGGCTGAGCAGACAATGGTGACAGTCCCGCTCTCTGCTCAGAGCGGCTGTGAAAACTCATTGATCAGCAGTCATGTGACTTCTGAGTTCTCACACTTAGAGCATTGGACCCATGCTGAATTCACCTAGGAGAGTATAATTAGGGAAATAAATAAAATCCCATACTTCTCTTTTACCTCCTTGGCGGTATTCCCGAGTGTAGCTCGGGGTAAAATTTCAGTACCAAGAGCGGTAACCCTGAGCTACACTCAGGCTTACCATGCGGCGTTGCTCAGGGAGTCCCTGCAGCACTTACCTTGTCCTTCGCTCCCCGCGATGTGTCCCCTGCAGCGTGCCCGGCCATCTCCTCCGGCCAATGCCGGCATCCGGCTTCCGTGTTCCGGTCCCTGTGATGTCGGGACGTACGGGCGCCGGAACCGGCGGCAAATTTGAAATTTTTTAAAAATGTCATTTTTTTTAAAATGATTATTATATAGTAAAACATTGCTGTTTCAATGCATTTCACATATATTTTGTCCCTACTGCTTTGTCCTGTGCCCTGCCTGCATTTTGACTGTTCTTTCTGCCTGGAAACTTAGAAAAGTCCATGGCATCCAAAAAGCGTCCCTTTTTGTCAAAAGCAGTTTTAGACCGGTTAGAGAACAGCGATAGTAAATCAGAACCACTTGCAGAATTGAGTGATGATTTGTGGGGAAATTCGTCATCAGACACTGAAAACGATTTTGCGACTTTGCTCAGTGATGTGCGAATTTGCCTCTGTATTTCAAATTTCAGTGTTTTTGGTTTGATTATATTATTAAATTAAATATATTATTATATTATTTTTTTTATGATTATTTATTAAATTATAATTTATGATTTCGTGTTTCAAGTTTTATCATATCCGGAATGTTTACTAGACTCTTGTTCGGACAGATTTCAGTGAGTTATTCCTAAAAATTACAGCCTACAATAAAAAACTACATATTTCCATGCAAAAAAATGGTACCGCTTTCAGCACAAAAAAAATCGGAAATAATCATACCGCCAAGGAGGTTAACCACTTCAAGGCCGGACACTTTTACCCCCGTCCTCTACAGGCCAATTTTCAGCTTTCAGCGCTATCACACTTTGAATGACAATTGCACAGTCATGCAACACTGACCCATATGAATTTTTTAGCATTTGTTTGAGACAGATAAAGCTTTATTTTGGTGGTATTTATTCACCACTGGGATTTTTATTTTTTTTGCTATAAATGAAAGTCCAAAAATTTTGAAAAAGTGTTTTTCTTATAAAATTTTGCATCTTTCTTTATAAATCTTGGCCAAAATTTATTCAGTTATCTTTTTGGTAAAAAAAAAAAAATAATAATTTAAATTAGTTTATAACCAAAAATTATAATTTAAAAAAATTTTTTTTAAACATTTATATTTAATTTTTTTATATTATGTTTTTTTTTTTTTTTTTACATACTGTCACCCTAGCAGTACAGTGTCACCATGGTGACACTGTACTACTTGTGGGGGGTTATGAAGATTTTTTTTTTTTTACACGGATTGCTTTTACACCCATAAAGGCTCTTTTCTCCTTCTCTCTGGCTGCATTCTTGCAGCCATTGAGAAATAGTGTGTGAGCTGTGATTGGTCACAGCTTGTCACATGGTACAAGGCTGTGGTTAAGCCTTGTACCATGTGACCTCTGTGATCATTCACAGATTTCACACATAGTAAACAATGTCAGGAAGTGACAGCTTGCTTAGTACTCTTCATGTGATCACTGATTGGCCAATCAATGATCACATGATTGGGACCTCACACAGAGGTCCCATACAACGATCGGAATTCCACTGTGTCCCTGCACTGCCACCATCAGACTGTTTATATACATGGACCAGACGGGAAGTGGTTAAGGAACAGCACATTTGTATATGTTGTTTTTAGCTTTTGTATAAAATAAAGTGATACTTTTCAACAGTTATTTTGAATTATTTGAATTATAGTCTTACTTTTTGCTACAGTTTGGTTATGATTTAATATCATGGAATGTGGGGGTACAGACATGTATTTTGTTATCAATACAATAACATTAACTAATCTTATTAAAAAAAAAAATTATGTCTATGTATGTCTGTATATATATATATATATATATATATATATATATATATATATATATATATATATATATATATAAATAATCATATTTTTTTAGGTAAAAAGAACCCTCAAAAACAAACTTCGCTGTTACTGTGTGGATGTGAATCAAATATTCTCATATATCTCATAACATGCTGCCACATTGAACTAAATACACAAAAAAAAAAATCTAAATAATATTTTGAAAATACAAAATATTAATGCGGCGCTCTATAAACGATTATAAAATAAACGCATAAAAAGTCCATATATTTCAGAGGTGGCATTTTTGCATCCATTGACATCAGGGGGCATGTTGCGATCTGCTGGCTTCTAAGTTTTGGATCATAGTTCTGGGTTAGATTTTGCCAGGCCTGGGCTAAAAGCCTAAAAATTTAATTTGTTAATGTTCTGCTGCTTAGCTGAAAGATACAAGAGGGACAGTAGACATGCCAGTATGTAAATCATATAGAAAAGAACACCATACCCTGACCAGTCTGACACCGTCGCCCACTCTCAAAGGAGAAGAGATTAGAGTCATATCCATAGCGACGAAGACAGAGGTATGGCCATCTCACAGCATCCCGCTTGCGGGTGTGTAGGACCAGCTCGGTCTGTGTTAGTTCCATGATACCAGAACCCAGCTCTGTCCCCTCATCATCCACGTTGGTGACCTGAAACGAGATTTCAACACATCACATATCTTGCAAAACAGAAACCCTGTAAGCCATTATGACTGGCATATAACATAAATCATATTTCATTAATTTAGACCAGAACATATTTAAAGAATTCGGGGTCCACCCAGATGTCTGGAACAGCACCTGGCTCAGCCTGAGAGCCTGAGCCAGCCCCTCCCGTCCCTTCCACAGTCCAGTGCTTTAGACAGTCACCACTCTCTGCTCAGAGCGGCAGGGAGAACTGAGCGATCAGCGGTTTTCGCTGTGATTGTTGAGTTTTCACCCTTAGAGCCGGTGGGGGACAGATGCAGCATCGGATCAATGCTGTATCCACCTTGGTAAGCATAATTTTAAAAAAAATTAAATACTTCTCTTTTAACTGTCAAGTGACCATGTCTCTGTGTAGTTTATCTCAAAGATTGTTCATATTTTATGCCTAAATGGCATACCAAAATAGCGATGACTAGTGCTTTTTTTTTTTTTTTAGTTGTGGACTAGTTGCTCTCTGTGCCCCTGATAAAAGAGATTCACCCCATTTGTCTTGTTTACTGCTCCCACCAAAAGTGAAAGAAAATCCCAAATTTTGGGTTGTCTCCAGGACAGTAATAGATTACAATTTTCCAATGGGAACATTAGTTCTGGTGATAACCAGGAATTCACCCACTTTGAGTGATTTGGATAAGGGACAGGAAGTGAAGGAAAATCATCCCAATGGGACACAGAGGGGAGAAAAAAGTCAGGGGTTAAAACCCTCTTCTCACTTCAAAAAAAAAAAAAAAAAGTTGTCTTAAGTTCCCCTTTAAATTAAAGTGGTTCTAAAAGCTGAAGAGGAGTACAAGAACAGCGCCTCTCTCCCTCCTCATAGGCTCAGTTACAGTAGCATGAGTCATTGGCCAGTAAGGAGGGATCAAGGGGGGGTGGATCGGGGCTGCTAAGTAAGTATGCCATCTTTGTTATTAAAAAAAATATATACAGTATGTATATATATATATTTACAATCACTTTAAGATGGTCTGATGGATTTCCGAATGCCTGGATTCCTAGATATTTAATTGAGCTTGTACTGGTGCGTGGGAGGGAGGTAGGTGGGAACTGTCCAGTGCAATATCTGAGATTTAAACAAAATTAATTGACAGGCCAGATAATTCACCTAAATTATTAAGAACATCAAAAGCTAACTGTAATGAGGGTGCCAAGGGTGTAATAATCTGCCATGTATATGCTGAGATATGACAGAAATATACAAATACCTCAATGGCGATTCTGGCATAAAGAATAAACGATTACATCTCAGGGAGTGTACAATCCAAATGCACACGTTTCTGCATTAAAAATGGTTGTGTATAAGTGGGTGCTGCAGCGACCATTCGCTGGAACCGAACAGAATCAGCAAGGGAGAATTTCACCAGCACACCGAGGATCATCAACATGAGTCCAAAGTTTTAACAAACGATCACAGTTACAGTAAGGCAAAGTTTCCGAGTCTCGCAGGACCCCTTCATCAGGCATGTGACGGGAACCTGCAAGACTCCGAAACATTGCCTTGCTGTAACTATGTGATCGTTCATTAAAACTTTTGGACCCATATTGGTGACCCTCAGGGAGTATAAGAAGATGGGGGGAGGGCCACTTAATGAAATTGGAGGAGAAGAGGTTTAACCTTAAACTGCGTATAAGGTTTTTCACTGTCGGAGCAGTAAGGATGTGGAACACATTTCTATAATCGTTGGGGTCAGCGGGTAGTATTGATAGTTTAATAAAACTGTTAGATGAGCATCTTAGCCAACACAATATAAAGGGATATGATTTTTGACAAACACACACACATCGAACTGGATGGACTGTTGTCTTTATTCAACTTTACAAAATTATATGTAAAGCAACATGCCATCTGTATACAGTCCAACTGTGTCTACATGAATGCAACTTCATAGTCCCTAAATTCCAGGCTGTGTATGCAGTATTATGGCTAGACGTTCCACCACTTAAGTGTATAGGAATGGGGGAAAGTGGGAAACCTGTTGGGTTTCCCTGGTCAAGAGGAAAGGATCCGAAGTCCACACATTAACAGTTTGTTAATGTTTTCACGGATGTCCCTGTAGACCACAGAACATACTTACTGATGCAGTGTTTTTGGTACATGTGCCAACTATTATTTACAGCTTTGATCCATGGATCCACCAATTAGGTGGATTTAGTCCCTTGTTTAAACACCTGCAACTTACACTGCATGAGGCATGCTGGAATATACTGAACAATAAACAGTCTTAGTCTGAAGTTATTTTAAACCATGCAAAATATGGCGTGGCCATCCAGCACTTGACGTGTTCTATACGAAGGTCGTAAGCACAGGTTTCCTGCATGTAATGATCTACATTACACAATAGGCATGACTGATCAGATTGACCACTTATGTGATTAGGTGATTGGCAACGATTCTGAATGTGTGCGGGCATATGCACATTTTTTTTCCCACTCACAGATCACCTGCAGATCAGAGCGAAGCAGGCAGATGAAAGGTCCCTGTCCACTCAGTTTATGCAGAGTGGACACGGACAGAGCCCGCTCTGCTGTATGGGCAGCCGGGTATAAACAGACAGTGGAGTTTGTTTATTCTCAACTACCTCCGATCTGCCTACACGGAGGAGAATGGATGCCCTTTTGTTTGTTTTTAGCAAACTGGATCAGAGGTAGGCAGGTGTAAAATGGAGCACAAGCCTGTTTATACCCGCTGGTTCATAGGGACGAATGGACCTTCCAATCAGGTCCTAATGAAAATCTGACAGGCAGACCTGATTGGAAATGTCATGGGAAAAGGGACTAACAGTAACTTGAAACAAAACTATTCAACTATTTTGTCTCAAACTGAAAAAAAGGAGTGATTCACTGCTGGGTCACAGCAAGAGGCTCCTATCACACACTATGGAGTGGCTTTACTACAACTGGAGAGTGCAAAATCTGATGTGGCTGTGCATGGTAGCCAATCAGCTTCTAACTTCAGCTTATTCAATAAGCTTTAACAAAAAAAAGAAAAAGCTGGAAATTGATTGGTTTCACTGCAGAGCTACACCAGATTTTGCAGTCTCCAGTTTTAGTAAATCAACCCCTATGTGTGTGTAATGCTACCTCAATGAATCACTCTCAGTATGCAATCGGCAATTCCACTAGGTGTACTGGGTAGAAATTGGGTAGATGCCAAACAGGATATTAAAGGTTCACATGCCCAGTCCATGTCCATGATGCCATTATACCAGTATAGTTAGGATAATCCACCAACTGCTTTATGCTGGTAGAATAGTCTGCTGTAAAGCTGTATTAAAGCGACATTAGTATAAAAGTAAAAACAGTTCCCTGAAGAAAAAAAAAAAAAAAAAAAAGTAAAAGTAATGGAAGCTTCTGGGTAAAGCTAGCTGAGAGAAAAGTACATGTCAGTAACTGCCCTAGGGTGGGCGTAGGACAGTATGCAGATGTGGTGAGGAAAAGAGGAAGGGGAAAAAGGAGATTCAGTAGCCAGGTCTCCATGAAAATGAGGTATGTAGAACAGGGAAATACTCAACAAGTTGGTTAATGGCCTCAAGCTGGTTTTTCACAGCACTGGTTATGCTTTTCTTCCCTTTGAAGAGCTTCATCAGGCTGAGCAAAGAAGCCGCTAACATCTTCAATAACACATAACTGTGCCGGATAAACATGGTGTATTTTAGATGAGGGGATGGGCAGTCAACATTTCACTTCTAAAAAATTGGTGCAGTGATTTTTCAGTTCAATAAAGAATCCAGGTTATACAGCAATTTTGGAATACAGGCATACCTCGGTTTACGAATTTAATTCGTTCTGCCGGACTTTTCGTATAGCGAAAAATTTGAAGACCGAAACGTTGTTTCCCATAGGAATGCGTTGAAAACCAATTAATTTGTTCCGGAGGTCAGAAAAAAGTAAACGCTACTAAAATACCGTATGAGTTATTTTATCAAGTCATGCGGTATTTTAGTAGTGACAACCATGTGTTAATGTTTCAGCTGTCAGCGCGGTTCCCCGCTGACAGCTGAATGTAAAAAAAATTGCCGGCAATTAAAAAAAATGATTTAAAAAAAAACACACGGGGTCCCCCCTCTCATCCATACCAAGCCCTTTGGGTCTGGTATGGATTTTGAGGGGAACTCCCATGCCAAAATTAAAAAAAAAAAAAAAAAAAAAAAAATGGCTTGTGGGCCCCCAAAGTCCATACCAGACACATATCCAAGCATGCAGACCGTCAGGTCAGGAAAGGGGAGATGAGCAAGTGCCGCCCCCCCTCCTGAACCATGCCAGGCCACATTTCCTCACCATGGGGGGGGGGGGGTGCTTTGGGGCAGGGGGAGCTCCCCCAACCAAAGCATCTTGTTGTCCCCATGTTGATGGGGACAAGGGTCTCTTCCCCACAACCCTGGTCGGTAGGGGGTCTGCGGGCAGGGGGCTTAATCGGAATCTGGAAGTCCCCCTTTAACAAGGTGGCCCCCCAGATCCCGCCCCCCCCCTTCATGTGAATGAGTATGCGGTACATGGTCCCGCTACTGATTCACAGCAAAAAACAAAAAGTGTAGTGTGATATTAAAAAAAAAAAAAAAAAAAAAAAAAAAAAAAAGACAGGACACAGTCTTTGACAAGTCCTTTATTAAAAGAAAAAACTAACCAAATGTCCCAAGTGACCTCGCCCCATGTGACATTGATGTCACATGGGGTGGGGTCACATGCGTGATGTCCCCGGGTGGCCCCGCTCCTTACATATTTAAGAATTGTCAAACTACCGGAGCAGGCAGATGGCAGGAGCCGTCGTCAGAAGCAGAGTTTTTTTTTTTATTTTAATTCTTTTTGCGGGTCGGCAGCGGACATAGTGATTGACGTTGGATCTACTGCGGGGGACATTCTTTTAGTTTTTTCTTTTAATAAAAGGACTTGTCAAAGACCGTGTCCTGTCTTTTTTCACACTACACTTTTTGTTTTTTGTGAATCAGTAGCGGGACCATGTATCCCATACTCATTCACATGGGGAGGGGGGGGGGGGGGCGGGATCTGGAGGCCCCCTTGTTAAAGGGGGCTTCCAGAATCCAATAAGCCCCCTGCCCACAGATCCCCCCCAAACACCGGCCAGGGTTATGGGGGAAGAGGCCCTTGTCCCCATCAACATGAGGACAAGATCCTTTGGGGGTGGGAGCCCCATGCCCCAAAGCACCCCTCCATGTTGAGGGCATGTGGCCTGGTATGGTTTGGGAGGGGGCGCTCGCTCGTCCGCCGCCTCCTTTCCTGATATGCCGGGTAAGGGTCTGGTATGGATTTGGGACCATTTTTTTTTTATTTTGGCGTGGGGGTTCCTCTCAAAATCCATACCAGACCATAAGGGTTTGGTATGGATGGGAGGGGGGACCCAATGCCGTTTATGTATTTATTATGGTGCTGTTTTTTAATAGTAATTACCGCTTTTTTTTTCATCACTGTAGCTCAGAGATTCAGCTGTCACTTTCCCTGCCCCAGCTAAAAGAGAGTTTCCTTTTAGTTTATTTCCCGAGTTGAAAGAAACAAGGTTTCCTTTAACTCCGGGGAAAGTGACAGCTAATTCTGTGAGCTATAGTGAAGAAAAAAAAAAAAATCTGGCAATTGCATTTAAAAATCGACACTGACATACACTTCGTAATGTGAAATAAATTTCTAAAAAAATTCGTAAACCAAGGCATTATTTTCAAAGGATTTTCATTCGTAAACCGAAAATTAACCGAGGCGTTTGTAAACCGCAGGTACACCTGTAAGTTGTTTTGTAATAGATTACCAGTTTCTCGTGTAAAAAGATGGATGATATCTCTATCCTTAAAATTTGGTAGATTGGGTATAAAATGCTAGGAGGGGCTCTGGATGGCAGAGGCCAAAGAAGTCTCCTGCCTAAAAGTGGGAAAGAACTTCTCTCTGCTGGATGTGGTAATCAGGAATGTTTCAAGAAATCCTGTAGAATCTGATGCCTCCACTTTCTCTGGAAGTCCTGGAGATTAGTTCATTGTAGTCTGTTTCTGTTTTCTAGGTCATCATGGCATTGAATGACAGCCTGAGGTTGTATTTGGTGCTGTTCCAGAGTAAGAAAGGAAGTTGCTCTTCTATGCTGCTCAAGGGAAAACAGCCTCCAGCACCCTCTTCATGGCAGCTTGTATCTACTTCGACACCAGAGACGGCAGTTTTCCATCTGATATGTCCATTATTGTCCTGGTGCCTAAATCTGTCCAGTTTTGAATTTCCTTCTGGGGTCCATTTAGAAGGGAACATGTGGAATTAGGTAGTCCTCTGCAGGATAAGGAAAAACTCCAAACTATATGGGTAAACGTTCACTGCTCAGAAAGCAGATTCAGAATAAGTTATAGGATATATAGTGAAGGAAATAAGTATTTGATCCCCTGCTGATTTTGAATGTTTGCCCACTCACAAAGAAATGATCAGTCTAAAAATCAAATGGTAGGTGTATTGTAACACAGAGACAGAAGAGCAACAAAAAATTCAAAAGAAATGCAAGTCTAACAAATTATGCACTGATTTGCATGTTCATGAGGGAAATAAGTATTTGATCCTCTTCACAAAACATGACTTAGTACTTGGTGGCAAATCCCTTGTTGGCAATCACAGAGGTCAGACGTTTCCTGTAGTTGGCCACCAGGTTTGCACACATCTCAGGAGGGATTTTGGCCCACTCCTCTTGGCAGATCCTCTCCAAGTCATTAAGGTTTGGTGGCTGACATTTGGCAACTCGAACTTTCAGCTTCCTCCACAGATTTTTCAATCTGATTAAAGTCTGGAGACTGGCTAGGCCACTCCAGGACCTTAATGTGCTTCTTCTTGAGCCACTCCTTTATTGCCTTGGCCATGTGTTTTGGGTCATTGTCATGCTAGAACACCCATCCACTACCCATTTTCAATGCCCTGGCTGAGGAAAGAAGGTTCTCATCCAAGATTTGACGATACATTGCCCCATCCATCCTCCCTTTGATGTGGTGCAGTTGTCCTGCCCCTTAACAGAAAAACAACCCCAAAGCAGAATGTTTCCACCACCATGTTTGATAGTTGGGATGGTGTTCTTGGGGTCATAGGTAGCATTGCTCCTCCTCCAAACACAGCGAGTTGAGTTGATACCAAAGAGCTCCATTTTGGTCTCATCTGACCATAACACTTTCAACTAGTCCTCATCTGCATCGTTCAGATGTTCAGTGGCAAACTGCAGACATGCTGCTACAGGCCATAAACCCCACCAAGCACCATTTTAAAATGGTACTGTGGCCAAGAAGTGCTCGAACTAATCAAAGAAAAGTAAACTCATATACTGCAACTATTTGACCAGTCTATATATGTTTAGTTAGTACCTAAAAATTGCAATTTACTATATACCAACTTATCTTACTTTAAACTTGGTGGGGTGATTGTCTGGGAGTCCTTCTCGACAGCTGCAGCAGCTTCCCATGATATCAGTGCATTAGGTTTCCTCTGTAACAAACATACAAAAGCATTTTAGTTTTAACTGACGAGTGACAGACTGCATAACATTGTATGGCATTGCAAATTACATTATATACAAGACTCCATTAAGCTTATAATAGGAATGTAAACATTTAACAATGCATAATTTGCGTTAATAAGGCTCATTTTCACACTAGCATCAGTGTCTACCCCACCTCTCCAAAGCGATCCACAATGGACCGCTTTTCAGAGGACAGAGAAAGAAAGTTTGCAGGTCTTCAGGAAGCGATGCTGCCACCTCCCGATGCTCTCTTTTTTTTTGCTGCCAAAAGGCAATTTTGCATTGCGAGATTGTGCCTTAACTGGGAGCTAAGTATTTGTCTTTCAGTCAAACTCGGTCCCGTTCACTTACAATGAATAGTGCCACTGACAGTAGCTGCAGGCAGTGGTACTTGTCAAAACTTAGCATGCTGCCTTAAAATTGCTGCATCACTCACCCAAGCACCACCATATCTGTTTGTAGGTGGTTGGCCAGAGGCAGTAAAGACATGGATCAACTGCATGTTTTTACTGCCCCTGGCTGTCCATGTGAAAGGATCCTAAAGATGTTTTAGTGTATATGGACAAAAAGAACAAAAACAAACACACTTTTTTAGTATTGCCAAGTTTGCCTTCTAGTAATTTTTCTATCTACCTGTGCATTTTCAAGGTTAAAATACCATTTGTGATTCCTAAAAAGCTGATCATCAGTGTAAGTCGCATTAATGGTATATTTAATAAGAGGGGTGATCCAAACGGCCATAGAGTTATTAAATGCTTACACAGCTAGCCCCAATTTGGCTTGTGCAAGTATTTGACTATTCAGTCCTACAAAGTAGAACTGTGCGAGTTTACTTATGAAGGATTTATATTTGCCTTAGTCAGCTTTACTAATTGTAACTTCTGATACTGTTCAGAATACCTACTAATTGATTGCCATATACTTTCAGAAGTATAAAACATGTTTCAGACTCATTGAACTTTAAAGGATGCCCTGTTCTATTTAAAACTGGACCCCAGACATACCTTTAATCTGTACAAGCTACTCTATTATACTAAAATTGCTTACTCTGATTTCACTGCACACTGTGAGCTTCTCATAGTATTCATTAAAAACTGCAGAAAGTCAGATACAGCCCACCTTATTTCATGGCTATTGGACATCATCTATTGCTTTCTTCCCCAGCCTTACTGGCCTGCCACTTTCATTTGTTGGATTTTAGTTCAACATTTTAGGCTTAGTGTAACATATGGCTGTTACCTAGGAGAGTCTGCATGCAAATCTGCCTAGAAATGCCTCCTCCTCCAGACTGACATCCACTAATCAAGACATTGTGATATTTTGCATAATTCCTCCCAAGAGCCAGCCTATGGCATCAATCCTGAGGGTTTTTGAGAGGAGTTCTGAGATAGGGTGCTGTGATATTTCCAGAAAGCTAAGTACAGCACCCTGCTTGCCCCTCCCACCAGCTATGATCTGCCTGCATTGCATGGAGAAGCACAGAGTCCCACTGATGACATGACTGGGTCTAAAATAAGGTATGTAATGAAAATAGGTTTTATTTAAATCACTAGCATTTTGATGAAGGTAAGGGAGGAACCAGGGAAGTACAAATACTGTACAAGCAGGTTATACTTCAGTTTTAAGCCCCACTCATATCCTTGAGGCATCACAACTGGTATGAAATGCTATGCTGCCACCTTTAGAAAAATGTGTAACCTGTCCTTCCTGCTGACAGAAGCCATTACCAAATGTCCCATCTTGTAGCTCAGTGTATAATTGGCAATGTATTATTTTCCACTAAACCACACAAGATACTAATAAGTAAATCAAGAACAGCTAGAATTGTTGGTGTCAAAAATAGCATGCAGGTGGCTTTTCACACAGCTGTGTGGTGAAGTGATTGCAACCTATCTAGTAATGACCTAAAATCAGCATGCCTGCCTTGGCATTGTAAGGTGATGTCCAATGATCTACTTGGGTTATTTGCAAGTAATACCTCCAGGCCTATTTACCTTGACATGTATACAGCAAACTAATATTCAGGAGCTATGCCTGGAAGTAGAACTTTAAATGGCATTGGTATTGCTGGAGCCTTTGTTTCAGGAAATTAACTGGGGATGTCAGGTGCACGTGGCATCTGTGCAGCTAACTGCACATAGTCAGACCCTTTCACACGGCTATTCAGTCTAGACATTCTTGCAGTTCTTCAGTTTTCCAGACTGAACCACAATGTATGTCTATGGGCAGATGAATGTATACAGATGATCATCTGTTTCTTTATACTTTTGACACTTCTGATTAGTTTCTGCAACAATAAAAAAAAAAAAAAAAAAAATAACAGATGAAAAAACAAATGTAGACTGAGATAAACAGAACTGAACCGAAGATGGATGTACAAACTGATGCATACTGAATCTGTTTTTTTTTAGCTAAAATGTGACTGAACAAATGACGCCAGTATGAAAGGACCTAATCACCTGCCTCCCTACTAATTTTTTGATAACTGTTAGACACATGTAACCTAACAGTGTGCTTTGTCTCTTACTGACTCTATCCACCAGGAAAAATGTTTGTAGAGCTTTGCACTTAAATGCTGAGATTTTGCCACTAGTGTGCTACATACAGTCAGCACTGGTCTCTAGCAGGTACTCAAGCCACATGCCGTCTCTATACAAAACATAAGGAATCACTGACTTGGCACCTTTAATGAGGCAAAGATGGTAGTGTCATCCTTCCCTCCTCATCTAATCAGAGAACTCCTTGTATTGAAGAAAAAAAAATATATATATAATGAATGGCAGAAGTGCTCAGCAAGCAACCCCCTGTGTACAGCATACAGAAGGCAAGTCGCTCAAGCAGCTCCTGGAAGGAGGAGCACAGGCTGCTACAGTGAATTTCTGCATCCCGAATGGCCACCTGGATGTGACATATGAAGTATGTTTTACAGGCATTTATATGTTCAGACATTTTAGGCAGCACTTTACATACAGTATATTGTACATTCACATCAGTCCCTCCCTCAAGGAGCTAACAATGTACACACATGCATGCATACACATACTTGGGCCTACTCAGACAGGAGCCAATTAAAGGCTAAGCTCACATTTGGCAACATGTTACTACAACCCACTGCCCCCTCCCCTCCAGAGTCCCCCACCCCCAGTGTCAGTGGGTGGGGGTTCTCCTCCCCTCAGCCGCGGTCTCATCTAAAATATGTTCAGCTATATGGGTGAATCTGTGAATGCATAAATTACAAATCCATGCCCCATGGCAGACGGACATGTAGTTCTCTGATCAGCACCCTCATAGTCGACTGACACTTCCTGCAGCTCTGAAACTGACAGCCCGAACAGAATTACAGGAAGAGAGGTGTAGAAATGTCTGCAGGAGCCTGACATTTCACCCACAATCTACTGATCACAGGAGCAATGCTCTGCACGCTCCTTAGAACAAAAAATAATACATTAACTTTTTTTTTTTTTTTTTTAAATAAAGGTGAACTTAACATTTAACCTACCTGCATGTCTTTCGGAGTGTGGGAGAAAACACACATGACTAGGAAGAACATGCAAACCCCATGCAGGTAATGTCCTGAGCAGGGTTTCAAACCAGGAAGGCAGAAGTGCTAACCACAAGGTCAGGCATGCTTAGATGCTAGTCCAAACAGATATGAGCAAGCCTGCCAGAAAATGTCATCTCTACTAGGCCATTTATCTGCATTCCATGCTCAACATATACAAGAGGCATGTATGCATACAACTGCGGGAAGGAATGCCTTGGCTGCTTTTGATCAGCCCAGTACAGTGACAGCTTCCTGACTGGAATCCTCACACACTAGAGCTCAATCCTACTAACCACTAAGCCACTATACTTAAAGCAAAACTTTACCCATAACAACTTGATTAAAACAATAATACTATACGGTTTAAAATCCAGCAAAACACTGTCTCACCCAGCTCTGCACATGTTCAGTTGCTCTCCAATTTTAGGCATTTTTTAGGCACTGTGCCGAATTTGTAGAGGCCAATCTGCTGACAGTCTAAATATTAAAGCGAAACAAAACCTATAAATTTAACAGTTTCAAGAAAAAAAAATTACATTCCCAGCATGCCAGGAATCTTAACGGTCACATTTTGCTTGTGTTTTCAACCAAACTGTCAAACCATCAAATAACTGGTGTTATAACTGATCATGTGTGCAGTACCATGGCAGTTGCAGATCAAACAGATAGCAGCTTCCTTGGCTGTAAAGGATAAAAGGGTCTAGTTCTGCTTTAACTGCTGCTCAGGGCTCTGGGCTTCAACAAAATGTAAGAAGAAACAGGAACAATTCTGGAAGCAATTTACAGCACACACTCATTTTGGTAGCATAATTATTCATGTGGAATTCATGCTCCTTGCTAAAGAACATAATTTTTATCAATTGTTAGGAGTTAAGTTTCGCTTTAATTTTCTGATTAAAGTTCCACTTTAAAGTGGAACTAAACCCAACGATTTAAGGTCTTGTTCACACCATACGTGCGGAAAAACTGACACAGTTTTTACTTGCAGAGACTTCAGTTTTCATGCACGCTTCAATGAGTTTTATACACGTTGCAGATTCCTGCGCAGAAAAAAATCTTCACGTGATACCAGTGTTGTGGTGTGTACAGGGCTCATAAAGAACAACTGATTTCTTTGTGCCCTTGCAGAACATGTGCTAAAAAAACGGAAGTCTCTGTACCATGGTGTGAACAAGCCCTAAGAGCTCATTCACACCATGGTGCAGAGACCTGTTTGTTCTGCAAGGGCACAATTAAATCAATTGTTCTTTATGTGCCCTGTTCACATCACAACTCTGGTATCACATGCAGATTTTTTTTCTGCACATGAATTTGCAATTTGTATAAAACTCATTGAAGCATGCATGAAAACTGATGTCTCTGCAAGTGAAATCTGCGAGTCAGTCTCCATTGGTTTTTC